AAGCTTTCGCATGCAGAGAGTTGAATTCATGAAAAGATTGAGGCTTTTCATCTTTTCTTGATGTAGTTGAATTCTCTATTGGGAAATAAAATGGTAACGTTTCTCCTGTTCTGTATAATGATAATGATACGACTCATCCATAATTAGATGAGGTAGTTCAAACAATTAAACTGATTGTTTTGCGCTAGATATAGGTTGCAGACCTAAGTGAATAAATGATACGACTCATCCATAGTTAGGTGAGGGAGTTCAAACAATTAAACATTCGGCGTCAAATGTTTCCATGTGCTTTAGTCCAAGAAAAAAATATGCATGCGTGTAAGGAGCTGTATTGCAGTCCAAATTGAATACGCAAGTAAAAGTATCTTCTTTCTAATAGTTTAAGGAGATGACGTAGTTAACATAGTTTAACAAGATAAACTGTGAGAAGTTAGTTTGGATTGGAAGTAATAGTTGCATAGGCAGTGAAAAGTGAAAACTGCTTCTGTTGTTTTTCTGGTGCATGACATGGATATGAATGGTTGTTTAGACGTAAAAGCTTGGTTGACTATCAATTTGGAGTTGGTTGACTTGGAGTTAGATGGAATTGTAGGTTTGTATCCAGTTCTAGGTAACTCTGATTGTCACGTTGGTTCTATAAGCTTGTTCCGCTGTACTTTTTTCTTGCCTATTGTTGATAGTGGGTTATTTATAGGTGGATATTTGTTTCAACTGATAAATCCATAAACACTAATAGGAGGATATTAATTTCAATATAAAATACAATAAAAACTCTGATTTTGTTTTTCAGTAGAAATAGAGGGCATATGTCTCAATGGTATGGTAGTTTGTAATTCTTCGTTTTACATTTCACAAATTGTGTTAAAAGAAAAAGTATATCTAAACCATCTCGTGTTTAACGGGACTGCAAGAGTGAAAGATGAAGACACTCCGGAATTCTAATTTTGCTTCTCTTGCTTAGAACTCAGTTTATGTGTGTGTGATCCTGCTTTCTGTTGCCTGTTCTTTTAGTAGCTCTAATCTTATAGCTTCAACATGTGCATTGTTTTAAGTTTGGCTGAGAACCTCTAGACCTATAGCTTTTAGCATGAGTTGGAGTGGAAATCGGCATTTCATTTGCCTTCTAGGTTCAAGTTCTTTGTGACCTGCTGGAAGCACTTCATTATTCGGAGTCTGGGGGAGGCTAAATTTGTTCATTGAATTCCTTCAGACACACAGTGCACCTTCAAAGAGGCTGCCCCTGAGTTTGTTCCAAGTCTTGTGTCATGCCTCATTGGCAAGGCACAGACCCTGCAGTACACAAGGTCATTTAGTATCAATACATAATTAGCTTGTATTCCTAGAAAACCCCTATTCCTTCTACCTCAAATCAGAACATCTGGAGCCCAAATATCACTCTCTTCATGGAACCACTCTTCACTTGCTTTGTTGGGTAGGGTAATTCTTTTACCAAAGTTGCTGCTATCGACTACATTTTGTTCTATTCTTGATCTCTTGCATCCTCAATCTCGTCGAAGTTGATTCTTTGTTGCCTGTTGAGAAATTCTCTTTATTTGTAGCTTGTTCTTGTGTCAAAATCTTCCCCAGGTTAAATGCACTGCTATTGTATCTGACTCTGCTCTCTAGTCTTTCTATATGAATGGTTCACCTTTAACTGGTTCTTTGAGTTGCTTATTCTCGTCTTTTTTTTGTTCTTTCTACTATTTTGGAACCCATCAAGATGCTAAACCTCTCAACAGAAGTAATTCTGTCATTTCCTGCTAGTAGAAATTGAAACATTTTGCTAAATTTGCATCATAACCTTATTAGAGATACTTGAATGGTTGAATTTGTTAATGTGGAGAATCTTTTCACTTATAAACAAAAGAACAGTAAAGGAGAATAAGAATCTTATTTCTCCTTTTTTGATAGTTGAAATCAGGGGCGGAGCTAGAGGGACAAAAGAGTTTTATCCAACCCTGTTTATCCTAAAATTATGCTACATATACAAAGATTAAATTATTTTTCGAAGTAAATATATATAGTAGATGTTCAACTCTTTTTTATGAAAGTTCTACCTGTCGAATGAAATCCATTTTCGTCCAGAATCATATTCGAAGTCTTAAATATGATTGGTAATATTTGTCATCCTAGCTAACTATATAACACACATGACACAAAATATAGATTGTTTAGATAGAAATTTCTCTCTTGTTAAATGACTCGATAGTATCATTGAAAAAGAAAACACAATGTCTTTAATAGTTAAATTCATGGTATAAATAATCTATTAGCGGTTACATGAAAATTCATAATTATCGAGTAACCCAACTCTCTCAACTTGTTCAAGGAATCATAACGTAAAAATAAAAAAAATAATCTAAAAAGATATTTTACAAAAGTATATCCTTTTTCACGTCTTGAAAAAAGTGTTTTTTTAATCAAATCTCTGTCTTTAATGATTAAGTATCTGAAAATAGAATGAGATGTTACTGCATTTTTTTTAATTAAAGAACTTGTAAAAAAAAATGGTGAAAATAAAAAGATATATAATATTAAATGACATTTATATCAATTATCTATTTTGTTACTAGTTCAAGGAGAATACAAATAGATGTATGTAATAAATTCTTTTATTGATTTATTTATTTCACATTTTTAGCAATGTAATCTGAGAAATGAATATCACAATCAAGTTTTGATTGATGTATAAAAAATGCATATGATCCACTTATTTTTATTATTTATTGTAGATTCAAGGGCAAAAATATTTATCACTTTAAAAAAAAATTTCTCCTTGAAGAGTGTAATTTTATTAAAATAGAGTAGCCTAATGAAATGTCATTTCAAATAGCTTTATAAAATTAGACCATCCATTTTAACTCTCCTAGTTGTGAGATCTCTCTTTTTATCTAATTTCAAAAATTTAAAATATTTAGGTAATTATTCAATTAAATAATAAAATTATTGCTCACTAAATATATTTTAAAAATGAAAATGTGTAACTCTCCAAAAAAAAAAGAAGAAGCAACATCCGTTTAAATTTAATACATTTCATGATGAATCTATGATTAAAGTTGGCAATAAAAAAAGGTGCACTAGCCAAAATAAATATAATTTTAAAAAGTTTTTCACATATGTTCTTATTTATTAGTTTTAAAAAATAAGAGTCACAATTATTATTATTATTATTATTATTTATTGTCCTAATTTTTCATTTTTAAAATTTTGAATGCATATTTTACTGTCACAATTAGTGAAAAAATAATAATAAAGAATATGAAAATTTTTAATGTAATTTTTTATTTCACAAATGTAAAAATGTGGACAATAAAGAATAAAATTGATATTTATTGTCACAATTAGTGGAGTGTAATATTTCCAAAAAAAAAATTACATTAATTTTTTTAATAATAACAATTAGTCCAACTTGTTTACATAAAGAATACAATAAATTAAAAAATAATTTTTTCTAATTTTTTCATATTCATTATTATTATTTTTAATTTATTGTCCAATTTTTTTCCACATGTTCTTATTTATCACATTAGCTTAATAAATATAACTTCTACTTTCTTCCTTGAATTTAGAATTACACTTTCGATGTTTTCCATATGAAAATTTTGTGTAAACAATTAAAAAAAAACTTTAGGCTATTCATTTTATCAATTACATGCACTAATTGATATGCTCATATTTTAAAGTAATAATCATAACAAATTTAAAATATAAATAAGAGAAACTACATGAACTCTAAATTTATATAGTTAAATAAATTTATAAAAGTAAACAGTCTTATATAAAGAAAAATATTAGCAAAATAACATAAATAATTTAAAATACCTAAAAATAAAAGAGCAACGTATACAAAATTGGCTCGTAAAGAAATATGTCTCCATATTATTCCAAGGAAAAATTATAATTTTATTTTTATTTTTCTTGAAACTAATTTAATTTTATAGTTTGTTTCTTTTATTGTTATTTTTAATTTGATTTTTTCATATATACATTTTAGTATTGCAATTTCTTTAGCTTTTTTAATATCAACTAATATATATATAAAAAAAGGTAGCACGATTTGATTAACTAGTTAACAATAAACATTAAAATAGTTTATATCATGAACCAATCAAGAATCGAAAAGACAACTATTTTATTATTTCATAAGTGATATGATTAATTAACTTCGCTTGCAAAAAAAATAATTAAATGTATGATGCATGAGCATAGTTTAAAAATATCAATCATTGTGTAATAATTCATTTTTTAATAAAAAAAAGAGGGTAATATCTCATTCTATTCTCGTGCACTTTGACTATATTTTCAGTTACTTAATGATTATTTATCGCTAGCACAAAACTAACTCCACGTGACTTACATTGCTTATTTCATTTTTTAATCAGATAATTTTAAAACACGAAATTTTCATGATTCGTTTATTACAATTTAGAAATTATTATTTTAAAAAAATTTATCAACTTTAAATTATAACTCTGTCTCAATATAGAACTGTCTGACACACAAGTTGATCAATAAAAAAACAAAATATACTCGACGATAAAAATTGAGTCGTGAGTAAATTGGCCTAGGCATAATCCAACAAAAAGAATAGGGTAAAACAAACAAGAAAAGCACATAGTATATGGTTCTTCACTAGAACTTTGAAAGGGTGAAGTTTTGTTGTGGCATTCATGGTATTAAAAACCATGGAAGAAATAGTTGAGCTTTTTTTTTTTAATTATTATTAATAATATAAAACCAATTTTATACTTGTCATTATTTTTTGTAATTCAAAAAAACCTTTTCACACCTATATATTAACAATCCAAAAAACTCAAACTTCTTAAAAATTTTGTTACTTCTTCCCAAAAAGGCAAAACCTGCCGCTTGCCCTTTTCCTTTATATATCCTTCTTTCTTTCTTTGTTTTTCTTTTCTATATCAAGAAAATAAGGTACTTAGATTTTTTAATTTTTTTTTGATATATGGTTTATATGCAAAAATTGGAATGTATATGTTTATAATTAAGGAAAAAAATATATTTGATTTTACTTTCCTTTTCATTAAAATTTTCTTTTTTGCAGTGTTTGAAGGAAGATGGATGATTTTCATAAACGTCTAGCTAGTTTGAAGAGTGTTCTGACATGTGGAATTTGTAAAAAATTATGCAAAGATGTCACGATTATTGAAGAATGTTGTCATCGATGTAAGAAAATTTTAATTTTCATTATTTTGGGTTTATTTTTTTTTTTCATTTTAGTGATGTTAATAATTAATTATTTGCGTTTGTGATTTCATTATCTCGATGTTCAGATTTTCTTTGTTATGTTCTTTTAAATTTTTTTCATTATTTTCATCGAAGCGGAGTTATTGAGATAATTTTTTTTTAATCTCCGCAGTCGGTAAGCTTAAGCCAACTTTGTGAGAGTAGCGGTCGTGTTATTTGTGATTTCATGATCTTGATGTTTAGATTTTCTTTATTATGTTACTTTCATTGTTTTTTATTGTTTTTATTGAAGCGGAGTTATCGAGATAATTTTCTTATCTCTGCGGTCGGTAGACTCACACCTTATTTTGTGAGAATAATGGTGTGTGTTGTTGTTGTTGTTTATGATTTCATGATCTTAATGTTTAGATTTTCTTTGTGATGTTAATTTTGTTGTTTTTTATTATTTTTTTTAAGCGGAGTTATCGACAAATCTTGTTAAATCCTACTTTGTGAGAGTAATGGTGTTTGGTATTGTTGATGTTTTTTGTAATTTTTTGGATTTTTAATTTAAACTTTTAATTTCAATGATTTTGATAAATTATTTGTTTTTGTCATTTCGAGATCTTGAATTATTTTTTTCGTTTTATCCAATGTGTTTTTTTAAAAAGATAAATTTAAAGTAATTTTTTTAGGATTCATTTTTATTTGAGTGATGTTCATGAATTATTTGTACTTATTTTATAATCTTGAATCTTTTATTTTCTTAGTTACACCCTTTTTGATATTTTTTATTCTCATATAAACAAAGTTCTCGAAACAAGTTTTCTATTTTTGCATATCATCAAACACTACTTTGTGAGACTATTGGTGTATGTAGTTGTGGTTTTTCCTGTTTTCTTTTTCTTTTAAAAAAGTTATGTGATTTATATATATTATGGGTTCTTGTCATTTGAGGATCTTAACTTTTTTATTTTTATTTCATTTTTTTCGTTCTTTTCAATGTATTTTTTTTAGAAAAAAATTCATTGAAATGTAGTTTTTGGGGGTTCATTTTCTATTTGAGTAATATTGATAAATTATTTGTATTTTCATTTTCTATTTGAGTAATATTGATAAATTATTTGTATTTTCATTTCATGATCTTGAAATTTTTAAATACTTTTAATATTTATTTTCATTGTTTTTGTTTTAATTTAAAATTTGAATTTATGTCTTTTGGGTATTTCTTTATTTATATTAGACATTTTGATAAATCATTTATTCTTGTAAATAAACTGTCTTGATTTTTTTTTTTTTTATAATCGTTCTTTCCAAGGATTTCCAATAGTATTTGTGTCATTTTCAAGATTTATGTGATCTAGGTCTTTTATACATAAACTTAGTACATATCATGTTTCTTGATTTATACAATTTATTTTTTAAATTTCTTGTATGATCAATTTGTTGCAATATGGTTCAACATTTTTTTTTTCTTGTCACTCTTTATTTTTAATTCATTACATGTCAAATTTTTTTTTTCTGAGGTTTTCTATGAAATTTGATTAATTTATTTTAAATATTTTTTAATAGTTTGCAAAAAATGCATTACAAATAAGATATCAGAAGAGAAATGGAATACTTGTCCAGAATGCAATAGGGACTTAGGCGTTGCCCCTTTGCATAAACTCAGGTATATATTTTCATAACTTTAAATATTTTGAATTATTAATTATAGTGATGTATATCTTTCTTCTCGTAGCTTTAAATAAGTTAATTTTATTGAAAAAACATGAAAATCATATTACATAAAAGTGGAACGGAGAAAATTATATACTTCTTTTGTCCTATTTTTATTATGATTGTGTTACTATTTGGAGAGTTTTCTTTAACTATAATTTTCTCTCAAAAAATAAAAATATCAAATAGTTTGAATCATTCACTACATTGACTTGCCATAAGTTTTGTGAAATTACCAAATATTGTACCCAAATTTGAGTCAAAATAAGTATTTTGACTTTCTTGTGTTGACCATAGGCACCTGTAGCTTATACTCCTTCAGTTCTATTTTTATGTTAAAGTGTATATATATGTGTGAAATATAAGTATTGATATAACTTTATGATACTTAATTTTACAGGCCTGATCACCAACTGCAAGTGATAAGAGACATATTCTCTAGTAAAAGAAGAGAACTAATTGAGCTTGGATTGATAGAAAAATTCAATAAAAACGAACCCAAAAATTTAGCTCGTGAGGATATTGATCTTAATTATAGTGTTGAAATGCTCATTGATCCATCGCCTCCTCCTGCTCCTACTCCTTCTCCTGTTATGATTGCTACAAGCTCAAGGAGAAAGGAGAAATTGATTTCTTCCATAGTAAATACTACACAGCTTGTGGATGACCAAGTTTCAAATCAGAATAACGTTACGAGTAGTAATACTGGAAGGGGAAGGGGAAGGGGAAGAGGCAGAGGAAGAGGAAGAGGAAGAGGAAGAGGAAGAGGAAGAAGAAGAGAAAGTCCACAAAATAATGTTAATGATGTTAATTCGAATAATGGAGATACATATCCAAGAAGTTTAATCATTCCTCTTCTTTCGAGCAAAGATACTCAACATAAACAACAGGTATGAATTAGTCATATGCTAAGTTGCTACTTTTTATAACATTGTATTTGAGTTGGATTGTTTAAAAATAAATTATATTTTTGAAGAATCTGACACACATTCATTGACATTTTTTAAAGAGTCTAAATATCATAGGTCGGTCATATGTTAGTATTAGGTAATTAATTATTTCTTGTCTAATCAATAAAAAGTTTGAACCACTAGTTAATGTTCAAGGTGAAAGTAATTGACTTGGTTGGAATTCGAGCCAAATCTAGGTTGGGTTCTATGTGTTCAACTTATACAACACTTTTTATTCAAATTATGTACATATGTGGATCACACTCATTCTCAACATAGGTATATATAAGTTCTAAACATTTTGTTGACCGCTGGACCAAGATCAATGAAGCAAATCTATCCTCATCTAAAGGGAGTCAATTGACAACTCCTAACAAAATATTACACTATGTATATACTATATGTTTAATTCTTTGGCTTATTCGTTTAATTTTTTTCTAAATACTTTGAATTTTCTTAGTGAATGAAAAGTGTAGTAACTCTTGTGATCACTTGTTGAAGGTTGAGAGTATTGCTTATGCAACTGAGTCCTCAAAGAAAAACAAAAGTGTTAAACCATTGGATGAAATGAATGACTTGTGGGAACCGTTGAACAACTTGGTAACAAAAAGTGAAGAGCCAGTTCCAAAGTTCATCAGTAATACTCCAATAATCAATCTTGAAGATTATGAAAATGAGGATGACAATGATGATGATGAAGAAGACGATGAGTATGTGCCTTCCCCAAAAGTTAAGGAACAGAAAGTTAGACAACAAAATGTTGTTAAAAAACTAGATGTTGTTCAAGCTACAGAAGCACCAACAAGTAGCAATAATAATAATAATGATAAAGGGAAAGGGAAAAAGGGGAGACGTGGTAGAAAGAAAAAAGAAACGAATAGTTCTCCTCTCCCTCCTCCTCCTGTTAGCGGTGGTGGTGGTGGTAATGGTGATGGTGGAACAAATCTTAACGTGGCACAAGTTCAAGTTGCTATTGAGACAGAAGGAGGTACAATCAGTGGAATTACAAGAGTAGTTAATGAAAGAGTACATCCCATTTGGTTCACTTTGGTTGCATGTGATAAACAGTGAGTTTAATTCTATGACTTTCAATTTTATGTATATTTTTTTCGATATTTTGATTTATATGACAATATTTGACTAGATATGGTTGTTCCAGGACATGTCCTCTACCCTTGCCACAAATTTCTTCCCGCTACATAAAGATCAAGTAAGTCTTTAGTTACATTTAAATATCTACAAAAATATATATCATGTCTATAGCTATTCTTGAAGTTCTAGATGGAGAATAACACTGAACATATCTTACAACTATAAAAGAAATGTTGCTCATTCATTTTTTTTACTAAAACTGTAATAGCCATTGTGGAATTTATAAATTAGTTTGGTAGAAGTAATTTTTTTTTGTGATTCTCTCTCAAAGGAAGGGATGACTTAACGTTATTGGTAAAGTTGTTGCAATTTGATTAGGATATGACAATTTCGAGCTATAGAAACAACTCCTTATAGAAATGCGAATAAAACTGCATATAATGAACCCTAATGGTCTGGCCCTTCCTTGGACCTCGTATAGCGAAAACTTAATGGAAGTGTAACCCTCCCCCCACCCCCCCACCCCTTAATTTTGTATTTTCGTTCATACTATATACATCTTTTTACTTTCAAAAATACATGTTAACTTCAATGAATATATTATACTTCTTTTCTGGTTAATTAGAGATGTGAACAAGCCGTCTTCCTACATAAAGAAGTACCTTGCACACAAATTGAGTCTCCAGAGTGAAGACGAGGTAATTAACTACTTATCATCTACCTTTTGCTTGACACGTGATTATTTATTTAAATAGTAATAATTCATCTTGTAGGTGGAGATTCACATGTTAGGAATGCAAATTCAACCTACTTTTCCTCTCAAAAACCTAGCAGAATTGTGGTTACGTGTAGCACCTAACTCTGGAAAACATTTAGCAAAAGTTGGAGCTTCTGCCCAAGAATTCGTCATGGTTTTGAACTATTGTCGTTCACACCCATAATTGAATTTTTGTATTAAAAATGTACAATATTTGCTTAAATATTCAAAATTGCAAGGAGAAAACTTCTTGTTGCATGTTGTCAATTACCTTTCATTTGTATGTTTTTTGTAAACTCTATTAGACACTTTTGATTTACTTGTTTTGCACCTTAGCTATGAGTTGTTTATCAAGAATTGTATGTGTGTGTTTTTTTATATATATAATTAAGTCTAAATTTAGTATACAAAATGTTGATAAATTGATATTTTTACTTGTAGCTAGTAGAAATTGAAACATTTTGGATGGTTCATTTGTACATGATTGTTCATTTGAGATATCTTTTCACTCAAACAAAAGAAAATAAAGGAGAATAAGAATCTTATTTCTCCTTTTGTGGTTTTTGCAAACATTATGCTTAATATACAAATGTTGTTTATATGTTATTCTAGTGTGTGTGGATCTACCTCTTTCTTCAATAGAGATCTATCCCGTCAATCCCATCCGCAAACTATCCCCAAACTAGCAAGATACATCTAGTTCTCCCTTCGATTACCTATCTCAGTAGGAAATTTTTTTCTTCAAAATCTTTATAAAACCATCTATATGCACCTTAGGAATATTCCTTATAGCCTCACCATAATACACGTCGTTTTGTTAGCATTTAGGGGTCACTCAACATGAATTATGCATTGAACATTTAACCTTATGGAACCCTCTATAGGCAGTAGGGAGAAATGTATGTCAAAATGTCACTCCTTTTGCATATACATTAGACATTTAAGAGACATTTTAGATGAATATGCATTTTCTCAGTTTTTCGTGTACGTTAGTCTATCAATAATTCGTGACATAGCTTATTGACTTTCCTTTTACAAAACTTTTACAGAACCCTCCATAGGGAGTTGGAGGGAGTAAGTAAGTGAAGCCCTTCTACTTTCCACACATAATCTGGGCCTTTAGGAGCATTTTTACAGAAATTATGAGACTTTTTTAATTTTTCGTGTGTTAACTCATGAATATTTTGGTGAAATGATTTCTAGATGGTTTTTTGTAAAACTTTTGTGGAACCCTCCGCAGGGATTTGGGAGATTAGTACGTGAAGTCTCACTCTTTTTTCACATATTTTGTCTATTTAGGAGACACTTTACAGTAATTAGGCAATTTGTTCGAATTATTGTATGTGTTAACCCATGAATATTTTGGTGAACTGGCTTCTGGATAATTATTTTACAAATTCTTTTATGAAACTTTCCGTAGGGATTTGGGGGAGATACGTGAAGCCTCACCATTTTTTTGATATATTTTAGGCATTTTGGAGCTATTTTATTGGAACTAAGCAATTCTCTCAGTTTTTCATGTGTGTTAGCCCGTAAAAATGTAATGACATAGCCCGCTAGTGATTTGTCCCCTTTAGGCCTAGACGTGTACGAGTGTAAAATGTGTCACCAGTTGATAAGGTCTCCACACTTATATATCCAACATCTCTCATGTGTTTTTACGATGTGAGACTTTTTATCTTTAGATTGGGTGTCACATATACCCCATTTTTGGACTCAGCCTTCTCGCTGAGGTTCGCCCCACCACATGGATTGTTCTAGACTCGGCACTAAGATTTTCCCTAGCTTACCAAAATTTTCTTAAATTTAGTTAAACTCTAGCCCACATCAACAAGCCTGACACAAGAGTAATTTTGATACCTTGTAACAACGCTGCTCGCTAGTGATATTGTCCATTTTGACCTAAACATTTTTGATTGGGGAAAATTGGGCCTAAAGTTTAAAAGGTAGAGGCAAAATGGGGCCTAATTTTAAAGAGGGATGAAGGGTAGCCTAAACTAAAGAAGGATATGGGTTGTAATTTATTTTGGGTCAATGGGTATTTGTTGAATTAATTTGGATTGGGCTATCAAATTGTAATTATTTTGTGTATCTTGGTTTATATATGTAGTTTTCCCTAGTAAAAGTATGTTTTGGGCCTAATACATTCATAAAGAACATTAGCTATATAAGTTGGCCTATTAGTTAACATAATCCTAAACCCTAACCCTGTCTATGTAAACGCTATTACGGGAGTTTAAAAATCAATTGTCCTAAAAATGGCAAGAGTTATCTCTACAACACTCAATGATTAATTGGTTGTGGAACTAGGAATTCTTCTGGTCAAGTAAGGATTCCTGACAACTAGTGATTCAAGTTGTGATTGTTGTAGACATTCCACCTAAGTTAACGAGAACTATTGTAAGTCTCAGAACTAGCATTTAATCGTTATATTACAAGCTTATAATTGTTAATTGATATGTGAGAGACAAGGTTTAAACTATTCTAATGAAGTATTTTAAAGGATATTTTATAAATTGTTAAGAACAAGGAAAATGCAATTTTTTACCTCACATGTTCTATGCTAAATCCCCGTCTTAAATAAAGTTATAATATAACCATATAAAAGAGGTAAAAAAAATATGTATAATTTGCATAAATCACATGTTGTTAATTATGAGGTAATTACATTATTTTCCTATTCTTTCTTCAAATTACAAAAATTTCTCAAAATTTATGAGTTCTGGATACACCACTGGACTTCCACATACAAAAGAAGACATCTGAATACATAAATGAGGAATGTATCAAAGAAGGGACAGGACATCCAGATACATCACTAGACTTTCAGATACACCAATAGACATCCGAATACATAGGTAAAAGGTGTATCAGAGTGGGAAAGGATGTTTACGAGAGGAATTTTGAAATTTTTTAGAATGGCAAGGAATTTTAGAATTATAATAAATAAAATGTGTATTTAGATCATTTTTCAAAAAAACATTAGACATCACATTATCATTATTCTAGACCCTGTCCATCCAAGCCCTCTTTTTAAAAAATTTCTCTTAGAAAATATATCTATTGTATACATTAAGCATATATTTATTTGGTACTACTTCATCAGCATTTGGTACCAATAAATTCAACTTTGTAATAATCAAATTCACCAATTAAAAAAAAAAGGAATCCAATAATTCCATTTTTTTCTTCTAAATTTGAACTATTTTGGGTGATCTACACTTGTCACTATTACAACGAATTAAATCATATAATGATATATGATTGTATACATACTTTTAAAATTTTTTATCAAACTCACTTTCACTATAAATACGTTTGTATAAAGTTCTCTAATTAAAGAATAAATTCATTAAATTTGTAATAATCAAATTCAACTTTGTAATAATCAAATTCCCCAATTAAAAAAAAAAAAGCAATCCAATAATTCCATTTTTTTCTTCTAAATTTGAACTATTTTGGATGATCTACGCTTGTCACTATCACAACGAATTAAATCATATAATGATATATGATTGTACACATACTTTTAAAATTTTTTATCAAACTCACTTTCACTATAAATACGTTTGTATAAAGTTCTCTAATTAAAGAATAAATTCATTAAATTTCCATTATGATACGTTTAAAATTGATTTGAATCATTACAAAATCTTTTCAACTGATAATGAATGTGACAATAAGAACCAACAATTTTCACTTGATAGACAATTATCATCAAAATGTGACAATAAGAACGAACAATTATATATATTCATTCAATGGTGTAATTTAAGTTGTATATTTACTTTCGGTATATTTTTTAATTTTCATTATTTAAGCCAATTATGATGGACAAGACAAAAATATAGTATCCAAATGGAAAATTGTGATTGGTTGACATATGTAAAAAAAATTATTTATATTTTTATTTCACTTGTTATCAAAGTAATTTAAAAAATAACCACTTATGACTCGCTTATCACAATTTTTAGATCACTACAAAAATCTATAAACTTCAAATTATAGATCTGTCTCGATTTAGGATTATTCAATATATATGTTGATAAAAATTAGCATATATTCAATAAAAAATTAAATCTTAGACAAGTTGATCTTAGCTCAGCCCAACAAAAAGAATAGGGTAAAATTTTCTTATATCATTCATGATATTAAAAACTATGGAATTATAAATAGTTGAGTTTCAATATTATTATCATTTATATTAAACCAATTTTGTCCATATATTATTATTACTTTTTGCAAGTCAAAAGAGACCTCTTCACACAAATTAATTATTCAAATAATAATCCAAAAAAAAAATCAATTTTCATCAAAAAAAAATTTCTTTTTTCTTTGTTCCTTTATATATACACTGAATCAAGAAAACAAAGGTAATCTTTTGTGTTAGTTTTTCTCTTTGTAAGATTTTTCTAGTATATGGTTTACATGAAAATAATGGAATTTATATGTTTATAATTAAGAAAAAATAATATTTGACTTGTGTGTGGCTTTTTTTTTTTTACAATGCATGAAGGAAGATGGATGATCTTAGTAAACGGCAAGCTCGGATGAAGAGTGTTTTGACATGTGGGATTTGCAAAAAGCTATGCAAAGATGTCTCAATTGTTGAAGAATGTTGTCATAGATGTAAGAAAATTCAAATCTTTGTAATTAATTTAATTTTTTGTGTTCTTTTTTTTATTTGAGTAATGTTGATCTATTATGTGTTCTTGTGATTTCATGGTTTTGAAGTTCAAACTTTCTTTGTTACATTTTTTTTGATGTTTTTATTTCTCATTAAGCGGAGTTATCGAAACAATCTTTCAATCTTTGTCATTTGCGATCGATATCATCAAACCTACTGTGTGACTATTGATTTAGATGGTTGTTGTAATTTTCTGGGTTTCCTTTAAAAGCAAAATCGGTGATTTTAATAAATAATTTATTTTTATCATTCCACAATCTTGAAATTTTGATTTTTTTTTCGTTCTTTCCAATATTTTTTTAAAAAAAAATTTACTTAGGTGCATTTTTTTGGAGGGGAGGGGGTGGGGGGTCATTTTTTATATTTGATTGATGTTTAATAAATCATCTGAACATGTGATTTCATGATCTTAAATTTTTTAATATTTTATTTCTTTCCATTTATTTATTTACAAATAATATAATTTTTTATTTTTTTTGTAATTTACTGATATTAATAAATCATCTGTCCTTGTGAATTGAGTTGAATTTATCATGTTTCTTAATTAAAAAGCTTAGTTATTTATTAATTTTCTTGTATGATC